CTCAGAGTTGTGCTGGTGCAACTTCTTGGACACAACCAAATGGGTAGGAGTGGCACTGTGTCATATTGAGGGAGGCTGTACATTTTTAAAACAAAATACTGAGGACATCCTAGAAACATGGCTTAGAAAATTTCTTCACCAGAAAGTCTACCCATTTCTGAGAAACTTGCCCTACAGTTCTCCTGGAATGGTCCTCACTGCCAGCTTGACTCACTGCTAAGCATCCCTCTGTGAGCCTGAGCCACAGAGTATGTGAGTTAGTTACAGTTCCTGATTGTGATAATTCGTCCTTATTTCAAGCCATAAAGATTTGTGCTATTTTCCATTCAATAGAACACCCTGATTTAAATCTGATATCGCCCAAAATATCAGGCAGATACCAGCAGAACTAAGGGACATGTCAGAGCTGTCTGAAGGCTACTTCAAAATGTGTGCAAATGCTGATTGCTTCTGTGAACCACCCCAGGACTTACAGGGTCTCTCCTATTAACCCTGCTCCAGGCACAGAACGGGACAAGGAATAATTGTGTTCTGTATTTAGGAACAATCCTACTTGCGTAATTTCTGCCACTTCTCCCTCTCGTCCTTTTATCATTCTCAGCATTTGCATGAACACAGGATCTTCATTTCAAAGGAGTCCATCTGCTCTGGCTGCTCATTCTCTTCCTGAAGTTATAAACCTCTATTTGCAACAACATAATCCTCTCTCCACAGCAACCTGCAGTGAGGTCACAAGTGGAGGATTGTGACTTCAGGTGGGGAAATGAGCAGCAGGAGCAGATGAACTGTTAAGAAGCAGAGATCCCATTTTCATTGCAAATGTCCTTTGCAATAAAGAATGACGCTAGGAAAAGGCAGCCAAGGGAGGACACTGAAGCAGAAAACCATGCACACAGAAAGCATATTCAAATGCTTTAAACAGTTGCATACGGTGAACTCGCTCTTGGAAGAGCAATATCTTAAGATGTAAAACAATTAGCTATTTCCAGTCATGCTGACAATTAAAAATGAATAAAATAAAAAATTCCAGCTCTTCCTTACACATTTCAACTTCTTTTATTTTCTTTTGATTTTCCTCTCCTCTCCTCTCCTCTCCTCTCCTCTCCTCTCC